AGGATGGACTGAATGCAAAAATAGTCCTAGGTAACCAGAATGGTATTAACTTGGAAATTCTCTCAGATGGCATCTCCAAACAAAGTTGTATGTCGGCTAGAACCCTCCCTGGCCACGGAGGTTTCCTTTTTTCAAGCTGCACACCTTGGCAGAGCAAGTGGTAGCCCTTCAGCTTTCTTTTAAATCCCCAATGTTGACTTCTAAGCTTCCCTCCTGTTTGCCTGAAGCCCCATTATGTCTTAAAGGTCTTCTCCAAAAGCACGAGCAGTCTTCTGCTCAGTCTGGCTGAAGGATGAGTGTAATCCCTCTGGAAACTGCCCTGAAAAGAGAAAACACTGGGTTACAGTTAGCTGGTTTTCCTCTGTCATTTGCCTTACTGTCTGAGCCCTGTTCTGTTGCCTCATCACACAGCAAGGGGAGTGGAGGCAGGACCTCTCTGCTGCTTCTGCCTCGTCTCCCTGCTTGCACACCCACCTCTGGGCTGGGCTGGATGGTTCCTGCCTTTTTGTTGAAATTTGTCCTTTGGTTGTTTGGTGTGGAAAGTGTACATATCCCATTAGGTGGGTATAGCTCTCCCACAGGCCCCAGGGAATACCTAGAAAAAGCCAGAAACCCTCCCTTGGCAAGCTGAAGCTGGCAGCAGGCCGTGTTCTGATCAACAGATGCACAAACATATCGTGGGGATGGCTGGTATCCATGAGCCAGACAGTGGTGTCTTTCAAGGCACTGGATGGTTGGAGAAGGACTAAAATGATTGATTTGTGATCAAGAGCCTGTGATTCCCTGAAAAGCAATAAAGAGATTTCCACGACAGGCATGTCTCACTCGAGGAAACTGCTCTTTGCTTAAGCTCAGCAATGGGTGTGCTGCTGTTTCCTCAGCCAGCAAAGCCCCACGGCAAGAGCAAAACCAATTAGTTCAAAGCATAAATCCCTGAAGGAAATAAAATATGTGCAACATTTGTGAGACACTTGGTTTCTCAGATGGTTGAAAAAATGATTTCGCGTTCTTTTAAAGGAAAGAATTCACAAACATCTTTGATTTAGCCAAGTTTGTGCAAGGAATACGGTAGCAAGCCATGGGAGAGAGGGGCAAGGGACTCTTTGTGACAGCCAGGAGGTTCTGTTGTGTCTGTTTCTAAGAAAAATATGTTCATTAGAAATCCCATTTCTTCCAGTAACTGCTACACTCTCTACAAGGATTTTGCAGAAACTGATACACTGAGCAGTGTCTCTAGAGCCTCATCACCTAAGGAATGATGTCTCCATGCAGCTGCTATGGTCTGTAAGCAAATGTGATTAGTGGCATAAATCATGTGCAAGATACATAATTAGCACCTTTCCATGCTCAAGATGTAATTATGGGTCACTGATAACTTCATCACAGGCCTATGGCCCAAATGGCAAGAATTGTACTTTTTCTGCTAGCAGAAAATCAGAATAGCAGAGCTTCCAGAGCTGCTCCCAGGCTGCTCCCAAGCCCTCTGTTCCTCCTCGCAGTCTCTCTACCAGCAGTGCCAGCACTATCTCTACATCTTCGCATTTCTCTTTGATTGCTTAGTGAGATCCGTCTCACACTGTTGTTGCTCCAGGGCAAATGGGTCACCAGAGAAGCTGTATTCAATTGACAGCGAAACAGAAATCACCACAAGTGAAACTGGCAGTGAAAGAACTTTCCACTTATTGGTTAGAACAGGGGTGGATGAGGTGCAGGAGCGAGTGGCACTGGTTCTGGCTTCTCTCTGGGAAGTTTAGGCTCCATTCTGGCATTTAGAGGCTGATCCAAAGACTAGAAATTAGTATTTGCTGCCAACCCAGCAGACATCAGCTTTTTTATAGACTCTTCAAATGTTTAGCTTTTCTGTTTTAAAAGTCTTCATTCTGATGACCAGCTACAGCAATGTATTTTCACAAATAGGTCATCATTTGTAGGTTAATTTTCTGTCCTTATGTCTACGTAGCTGATCATCCTCTATTCTTCTCCCAGAATCTCTCTTTTGGCCACACAGACCAAAATGTGGAAATAGCTTTTTCAGTCATTGCTCAAAAAAAAAAATAAAAAATAAAGGTCACCAACCTTACAGGTACTGGGTACAACAGCCCTTAGAAATATCTCCTACATTGCCATTTGAGACACCTGACCAGGGAAACTCATTGTGGTCAGCCTGAGGCAGAGCCATATATTAGCAGATCATATGTCCCTGTATATGTTAGCTCTTCCCAACACACTCCAGGATGCAGTGGAGAGGATGCAGTGGAGGAGCAGAGTAAGGAAGGGCCAGAGAGCTCCATCACCAGCACCAGGGCAGCCCATCAACTCTCAAGTGACAGGATTTTAAGATTCCAACCCAGAATAGATATTTGGAGAAGGTGAACACACAGAATTTCTCGGGTGTCTTACAGGCTGTTTCTTCTGTCTCCTTTGGAGACATCTAATATCCTGTACATTTTTTGTTTATGTGTAAATACTTTGGGGTATATTTTCTTTTAGTGCACTTACTTTTTGATGATAGGTTGAATGACCAAAAATGCTGCACAAATATCCAATTTCCAGATCAGCATTTTAACCTGGTTTGCATAAGCCTCCAGGTCTTCTGAGTTCTCATGAGAGAATTTGCATCCCAGTGTAGAGTTTCCAAGAAACTCTGTACAGTTTGGGTTTTCTAATGTTGAAAAAAAAAAAAAAGATTCCCTGCAGAGGAAAAACACCCAGATGACATAGCAGATTGTTTTACGTTTGCTGTGTGCACTGATCAAGACAGAAGATCTGCAAAGACCACAAAAGAAGAGATGGTATTCATAGTTTCATTTTCCAGAGATAAGGTGGCTTGGAGTATATTTTTCCCTTTCTTTTAGATAAAGATGACATATGCTAATGTAGAAATAAAGGAAAGTAGGGGCATTCTAATTCCTCCATGAAAGGGTAAACCATAGCACAGTAATATCAAGATTTCTTATGACATAAAGGCATCAAATCCTGATGAACTCAGGGAACACTTCCAGCTTGAAGAGGTTAGCAGCACCTCCTGAGAGCCTCAGATTGTGCTCTGCCCTAGCAGATGGACCATGGAATGTCCTCAGGACATGTTAACTAACTTCTGTAGGTAATGGAGCTCCCATTACTTTCAGAAGAGCTTTAATTAATTTGAAACCCTTTAAGCTTACTAAATAAAGCTAGTGGCACTCAGGAGCTGTGAGACAGAGGAGTACACATGAGAGAGACCTTCAGAGCTGCAAGTCCTGCCTGTTTCATGCAATAGTACAGTCAGTCACCAGAGCTTTCCTAGGTTGAGCCAAGCTTTCCATGTTGCAATGATATTTAGCAAGAGCTAAGACATCTAAAAGAAAAAAGCCCTGACAGCCACATGCCACCGTTCTGGGTATCATGCAGATTGCAAGTGCATCCCACAACCAGTCATCTCCAGAAAGCAGGAATTGATCACAAAGTTCACCATTCTCTTGTATTTTAAGGCTTTTCCCAATGCCATTGCTCTCACTTCAATGTCCTCTTTTGTTGGCCTGACTGCTTTCATATCAGGAAAGAGAAACATTGAGAGTTTTCACATCATAAGTCCACTCACCCTTCCTTGCTTGTACCACTATGCGATGACCTTGGGCGCTGGATCTCCGTCTCAGCATGGCATGTAGAGGGAGGTTGAGCTCACAGGATGGACAGACAGTGCAAGGCATTCACTCCATGGCTGTGTTAAAGGTCTCCAGCAGCCAGCCCTCACATCTCAGCTCACTTTTCATGCTACAAGCATTGAAAATCCACCTGCAGACTGCTTGATGGAAACACAGCAATTATACTTTAATGACAAAGTAAGTGCCGCTCTTGGTTCACACCTATCTGCGTGAGTAAGAACAGGCTGGCCCTCTTCCATGAGAACTGGCAGCATTTTCTATCCTGTGTGTGAAGTAGGCTACATTAGTGCTAAAATGTTTTGAAACATGGGAGAATAGAGCAGTCCATAAAGATGAGCTATGAAAGTCCTGGTGCTGTTACTGCAGGGGAGACCATGCAGGTTCCAATTTTGATGCAGCAGGTGTTGGTGGCAGGGCAGTCTCAGTGTGTTCTTCCCCACTCCAAAAGTTCAGGTTTCTCCAGATTTTCTCCTTGTGACCCAAGGTTATCCGTTGCTTTCTCCATCACTTGAGAGGACCTTGGTATTCTTTTCAGAGACTGGGTGTTCTACAGCCCAGTAGCTTTAGTATTTTACCCATTCTAAGAAAGAATTTCTTGATGTATTCAGCTTTTTATCTTACATTGTAACCTCACCTGGGAACTCTGAGAGCCCCTAAAAAAATACTGCCTT